TGGAGGAGGGGGTGGGGGCCATTTCAGTTCAGAGGGAACAGCAAATGTGAGTTTTCTGGGATGGCGAGGGCACAGGGGGAAGACAAAGGCTCTCTGAGATCATTCAAAAAGAGCTCCTCCCACGCCACAGAATTAAACATGTGCCGTTTCTCTACCCAGTCTCCTGGCTGGTGGCCTGGCAGGAAGACGCCAGCATGGGCCACAAGGTGACCTCTGGAGCGACACAGAGGTCACACGGTCTGTGAAGAACCTGTTACCAGCAGGGAAGATCCGCAGACCTATCAATGCCTTTGCTGTGGCTTCTGCCTGAGTGTAGCCCCTTGGAATAAACCACCCCCCGCCCCAGTCTTAGGTTTCTGTCTGCGAAATGGGAAGGTTGGAAGGACTAGCAAAAAAAAAATAAAACAAAACCCCTACTCCCTACCTCCATTTTGCAGAAACAGAGCCCCGGAAGGTTAGGGGATTTGCCTGAGGGTGCAGATTATTTAGCAGCTGACCGGGAAAGAATAATATTAATAAAGGGAACTCCCCGGACTCCAGCAGGGGCACTTTACCCACACATTGGCCTTCTCTAAGTCAGGCTTCATTTCCTCACCCCTCCGGCTGGTTGCAGGCCACCTGCCCATATCTGAACGTGGCCTGGGCTTTTGACCTGGGGGCCCCGGGGAAGAGGCATGACCACCCTGTGGAAGAGGGAGAGCACAGCAGTGGCTCTCTGCAAAGCAACACTCTGAAGGGTTTTGGGGGGGAGGGGGGTGGGAGGCTTCCCCCCTGAATATTTCTTCAGAGTTGACCCAAGATGGACCAACGGATGTGAGCAAAAGGGTCAACAGTAGCCAGGGCGGGGTGGCGGGGTGGGGGGGTTGGCACCACGGATCTGAGCCCTGGTTTTCTCATCTGTAAAATGGGGGCCCACCGCCAGCCTTGTGCTGTTGTTCTAAGGGATCAATGGATAATTTATATAAACTGTGAAGTGGTGGGTGAAGTGGGTGTTGGGGGGACAAAGAGCAAGCCACAGGGAGGAGCTATGAAGGAATCGGGGGCTTATTAAGTACCTACTATGTACCGGTCTTTGCGTACGTTACAATCGTTATGCCATTTAATCAGGTCAGTGTTTGGCAGATGAGGAACTGAGGCCGGGAGAGGCGAATGCCATACCCAAGGGCACACAGTGGGGGGTGGCAGAGCCCAGGGGGAACCAGCTCTGCTTCCAACACCAATGACTGCTCTTTGTACCAGACCCTAAAGCCCTCCCTTCCTTTAACCCTTCCGGAACCTCAAACTGAACTCCCCCTGAGGACGGTCAGTACAGGGAATACTCGCATTTTCTCTCTCTCTACCTTCTATTTCCCGTCACCAGAGCGCAAATTAAGCTCCCTGGGAACGTGGGCACCTATGGAAGAAGGCACCTCCTCGTCCAAGTTTTTCACGTTCGAGAGAGACAGTACAAGAGGTGCGCTGAGACCGACAGCCAGTGGGATTCTACCTCCTGGAGAAAGGAACAGACCGGAAGGAGGGAAGGACACTGGAAGGAAAGCAGAGGACCTGGCCAAGTTACGGTTGGTGGCTCTTCTCTTTTCTCTGCTTGTCTGTGTTTCCTGAGTTTTCCACCTGGAACTACCGTATTCTGTTTGCAATTCTGTCGCCCGGAAGGGAGGCGGCAAAGCTCAACAGCAACAACAGAAACAAACAAAGCCACCAACTGCACACCCGGGCTCGACACTCCCGCCTGTGACGGGCCTATGGGCATTTGTTTCCAACAAATTGCTGGATGCGGTTACAGTATCTGAGTTTTTGTTTTGAAGGCATCCCTAAGGGGAAGGCATGTGCCTCCGTGCTTAGTTACCTGTTGAAAGAATCAAGGAACAAATGAACGAAGGTCTCTTCAGGAGGCAGGGAACCTGTCCCTCCCTCCAGCCCCCATCATCCCATCCCGCATGGCTCTTGTCAGCCTTGGCTCATTCGGCTTAAATTACAACCGGTCACACTCAAGGTCGGCTTCCCAACTGGGCTAAGTTCTTTCTACAAAGACAGTCTCCTGTGCCTCCCAGTTAGAAGGACACAGGGCACGTTACCTTATGGTGGGGACGGGGTTCTCCGGCTCGCCTGCAGTTAGAGCAGCCTCCAGAGACAGAGTCCCCAGGCTGGCCCGGCTGCCCTTCCGGGGAGACTCTCGGAACAAGCCGGCACTGGGGTCCTCATCGGAGGAGTTGTCATCGAAGGAGCCCAGGATAAAGTTGGTCATCAGCTGCCTCTTGATGTGCTCCTGCTTCTCGTCTTTCTTGGAGAGGGGTCTGGCTCGCGGGTCCTGGGGCTTGGCTGGAGACGACGGGCCATCGGTATCTGGGGTCTTCAGGTCTGCGGTCCCCGTTGCATTGGCTTGGGGCGCTGGGGAGGTGTCATCAGAGGAAAGGGAGTCTCCTGGGGGATTCTGGTGTGGGGGTGGCCCGGAAGTTCTTTGCTGATCGGTATCGTCGGCACCTCTGTGGGAGGCTGGCTCAGCCCGGTTAGGAGTCTCTGGCAGAGGACCGTTGTTATCATCTTTCTGCGGCGGCTCCCCTGAGCTGTCTGAGGCTGGAAAAGGCGCTTGGCTTGGGCTACAGCTCCCTTCGGGTGTGCTCTTGGTGACTTGCTTGGAGTCTGTCATTTCCCCCCAGAATTTTAACCAGGAGAAGGTCAAGCAGGAGAAAATCAAACAAGATAGAAAAAGAAGCAAGGTCATTCAGAAAATCTGTAGGGGAAAAAAGGAAAGGCATTTTAGAGTCTACATAATGGAGTTATTCCCACCCTAAAGGGGCTCGCGGGGCAAGGGGCAAGCTAGGGTTCTGTGGGTTCAGCTGGCCGTGCCAGAGAGGAAAGGCAGTGCACAGAGTGGTTCTCCATAGAACACGCTCTGTGGTCCTAGGCACATCCCTGAACGCCTCTGGATGTCCGTTTCTCACCTCTCATTTAGGGACACTAACACATGCTCATCGTAAATCATCAACATGCACGTAAGAGATGAGTAGATCATGCCTGTTATGAATCCCGCTATAGATTCCTAAGACCCAAAAAGTAGACGCAATCCAAATGTCCGTTACCTGAAGAATGGGTAAACAAAAGGTGATCCATCCATACAACGGAGTCCTATCTGGTCATAAAATAGGACTGAAGCACTGACACACGTTACAACACGGATGCATCTTGAAAACATTATGCCAGGTGCCAAAGACCACATTGTATGACGCCATGTATCTGATACGCCCGGAACAGGCAAATTCATAGAGACAGAAAGGTGAGTGGTTGCCTAGGGCTAGTAGGATGGGGATAGAGGGTACAAGGGTTGTGTTTGGGGGGATGAAAATGTTCTAAAATTGACTGTAGTGAATGTACTTGGGGAATGTACTAGAAACCACGGAAGTATATAGGTTACATGAATGAACCGAATGGCATATGAATTATCTCTCAATAAAGCTGTTACCTAGAAAGAAAAGAGAAGACTCTACATATTCCAATTCGTAGATGTAAAGGGACTGTTACGTCTGTCGCCATTATCTTATCATCGCCACCGCCATCATCGCTGTATTACTGTCACAATCGTCATCATGGTTCTGGAAGGGGAAGGGCACTTTGCCTTATTTTCTTCCTAGCGCTAGTATGCCCGGGATGGAGTGTGCTTAGAACCGAATGAAAACCCAGCAAGACCAAAGGGAGTCTGTTCTGTTCCAGGGTCTAAAACAGTGTCCGGTAAACAGGGCGAGCTTAACAAGAGACAAAAAGTCATTTTGCCGAACGCATGAACTCAGATATTCTGATTTCTAACCCATGCCTCTTCCCTCCACGCTAACTCTGCCCTATTAATGGAGTCAGTCATTGCTATTTGAAGTAAAGATTGTTAAAAAGCAAACAAACAAAAATACGACCTGAACGTGTTGAAATTTCGGAACCAATTTGCCACAGGGATACAGTAGAAGCATTTAGAAAAAACAAAAAACAAAAAAACAGGACCACAAAGCTCAAACACATCAATATAGTATCTAAAAAGCTTTTGTCTTTTTATAATTCAATATTATGTTCTTAAGGGAAGTAGAAATGTTCTCAAGATTTCCCAGAACGGCACGACCCTGAGTACTTCTTGTGCACTTTGGGCAACAGAAACTGTTGAAATGTCATCAGGGTATTTTCCAGGTAATACATAGGGTCAGGAGGTTTTTTCCCTTTAAGGTCATCAAGTTTCTTTTTACAGAAAAGGCAGTCAAGGGTGGCTCAGCATCTATCAATGTAACAAACCACATCCATAGAACAGAGTGGAAATTGACAGGATGACCTCGATGAACACCAAAAAAAAAAAAAAAAAAAAAAAAAAAAAAAAAAAAGGATTTGGCCAAAATCCAACACCCTTTCATGATAAAAAAAAAAAGTCAGAAAAGTAGGAATAGAAAGGAACTTGAATGCAATAAGGCACGTCATGAAAAACCTATAGCTAATATATAGTCAATGGTGAAAGACAGGAAGCTTTCTCCTGAAGATCAGGAACAAGGCAAGGGTGCCCGCTTTTCACCTATTTCACCTATTTCGCCTATTTTGCTATTGTACTGGAGGTCCTAGCCAAAGCAATTAGACAAGAAGAAGAAATAAAAGCCATTCAAACGGAAAAGGAAGACCTGAAATCATTTCTAATCATAGACGGCATGATCCTATACAGGTTTCCCCGCTATCCAAAAGTAGAGAGGTTCCTCTGAAAACTTTCATAAGTTGAAATGGCGTAAAGCAAAGAAGCAATTACCATTAATTGATAAGAAAACACTTTTGAGCATTCCCAGGCCCATAAAATAACCTCTCTTAGGCTTTTCTGGTAGCTTAGGACACATCTTGCTAATGGATACACAACATAAATCAAGACAAAACTCAGATGCTCACAGACACAGTTCAAAGCTATGGTGGCTTTGGTGCTGAGGTGCTGAGTGTGGTTCTCACCAAAGCAGCTTGGCTATTTTAACTTTTCCACTTTTTTTTCCTAAAAGCAAAAATCCTCTTCAGATTTCCTCCAGTTAGCAAAAACAGGTACTAGTGTAGGTCTTTCACAAAAACAAAGTGGCATAATGTGAACTTTCAAAAAGCAGGAGATGCCTGTGTATAGAAAATCCTGAAGAATCCACACACATGAGGCCCCTGGGTGGCTCAGTGGCTCAGTTGGTTGAGCAGCTGACTCTTGATTTTGGCTCGGGCCATAATGCCAGGGTTGTGGAATTGAGCCCTTCATCAGGCTCTCTGCTGAGCATGGAGCCTGCCTAAAATTCTCTCCCATTCTCTCCTTCTCTCTCTCTCTCTCTCTCTCCCCCTCTGCCCCTCTCCCCCACTTGCACTCTCTCTATACATGTAATTTAAAAAATTAAAAAGAAAAAAGAATCCACACACACACACACAAAACCCTAATAGAAGTAATGAACAAATTAAGCACATTTGTAGGATACAGGATCAATATGCAAAAATTAATTGTGTTTCTTGCACCAACAATGGACAATTTGAAAAGGAAATTAATAAAACAATTCCATTTACAATAGCATCCAAAAGGATAAAATATCTAGGAATAAATTTAACCAAGGAGGTGAAAGACGTGTACAATGCTGGTGTATAAAACATTGCTGAAAGAAATTAAAGAAAATCTAAATAAATGTAAGACATCCCATGTTCATGGATTGGAAGACTTCCTACTGTTAAGATGGCCATACTACCTGAAACGATAAGCAGATTCATATGGAGCTGCAAGGGGAACCAATAGCCAAAGCAATCTTAAAAAAGAACAAAGTTGGAGGACTCACACTTTCTGATTTCAAAACTTACTGTAAAACTACGGTCAAGACAGTGTGGCACTGGCATCAAGAACAGGTATATAGATCAATGGATTAGAATTAAACGTCCCCAAATAAACCCATATGCATCTATGGCCCATAGACTTTTTATGAAGATATCAAGACCATTCAATGTGGGGGGTGGGGGGATGCCTCACTGGCTCAGTCAGAAGAGCATGAGACTCTTGATCTCAGGATCGTGAATTCAAGCCCCACGCTGGGTATAGAGATTACTAAAGAAAATAAACAAACTTGAAGAAAAAAAAAAGACAATTCAAGGAGGAAAGAATAATCTCTTCAACTGGTTCTGAGACAACTGATTTCTACAAGCAACAGAATGAGGTTGGACTCTGTGGGGAATAAGCTTAGGGATTCCCCAGGCTTGCACCGATGGGTTAATAAGGCATAAAGAATTAGAAAGCCACAGATGCTCACACCCATGTTTGGGTAAACAAGATTAGTTAAATAGGTATAGAGAGGGCGGGGTAAAGGCTCCAACACAAAGGTATATGAGGTAAGTAAGATTAGGTATTCAGGGCAGATATGCCCCCCAATTTAGTACTATAGCAGAAAGCTTGTTCCACAGGAAGGAAGAACCAAATTAGGTAAATAGGTAAATAGGGCTATAGACCACTGCGGGGTAAAGTTGCCCTGAACAACCATCTGCCTATCTCCAGGATTTTGTTTTATATTGACCCAAACCTCTAACACCGTATATCTTCAAAACCCTCTTTCCCTCACGCCCATGAGTTAATGTTCACAGATTTATTATCTCTTTGCGCACATCCATCATCACGTTTGTAAGCCTTCTGATCCTAATAAAAATGGAGCAAGGACCCTTAATCAGGGCTCTTGTCTCCTCCCAGACATTAGCCATCTCTCGCATTTTAATCCTGCGTCCTGCTTTCTTGCTGGACAAGAAAGAACTCTAGACCCAGAGTCTACGACAGGACTCCTAACTCAGACCATATAAAAACTCAACTCAAAATGAGTCAACAACCTAAATAGAACTAAAACAGCAAAAAAATTTCGGGCACCTGGGTGGCTCAGTCGGCTGGGCGTCCGACTTCGGCTCAGGTCATGATCTCACAGTCCACGGGTTCGAGCCCCTCGTCGGGCTCTGTGCTGACAGCTCAGAGCCTGGAGCCTGCTTCGGATTCTGTGTCTCCCTCTCTCTCTGCCCCTCCCCCTCTCAAGCTCTGTCTCTGTCTCTCTCAAAAATAAATAAACATTAAAAAAAATTGAAAAAAAAAACACAAAAAATTTAAAAGAAAACATGGGAGCAAATCGTTGTGACCTCAGAATTGGCGGTGGATTCTCATATGTGACACCAGAAGCATGAGCATAAAAAAAAAGTAGATAAATTGGACCTCATTCAAATTAAACACTTTTATGCATCAAAGGGCACTACCAAGGAAGTGAAAAGACAGCCTCCCGAAGGGGAGAAAATATTTGTAAATCACACATTTGCTAACAGTTTAGCATCCGGAACATATACAGAAGTCTTACAACTCAGCAACAAAAAGACAAACAAGCTGATTTAAAATTTTTTTGTTCTGTTTATTCATTTTTGAAAGACAGAGAGAGAGCAAAAGCAGGGGTGGGGCAGAGAGAAAGGGGGACACAGAAACGGAAGCAGGCTCCAGGCTCCGAGCCGTCGGCACCAGAGCCCGACGCGGGGCTCGAACTCACAAACCGCGAGATCGTGACCTGAGCAGAAGTCGGACGCTCAACCCACTGAGCCACCCAAGTGCCCCCCCAGACAAGCTGATTTTAAAATGAGCCGAGGACACGAACGGACATTGCTCCAAAACAGATATACAAATGGCCAATAGCTCACAAAGAGATCCAGCCTTAGTCGTTCTGGAAATGCAAATCAATATACTGCCAT